GTTCGATACCTGGATAATGTTGTATCACCCACCAGGAACTCCCTTTAGCAGGGTACCATGGCAATGCCCCCCCACCCACTTCCCTACTACCACGATTGAAGTCTCAAATAGTTAGCAGTGTTAGCCTCTATAGCAGCCAGACGGCCGGGCAGGGGACGCAGGGGAGGCCGAGTAAAGTTAAGTGCCCTCTGTACTGTCCACAAGTTTAGGTAGATATCGCTTCGAGGGAAGGGAGAGCTTCCATATTGTCGTGGAGATGCTTCACTGCAGTCCGCAGACCAGAATGCCACTGTAACCTCGCCATGAAAGGTAGAAAACATTCAAAGCTGTTAATGACTGACATATCAATTATTTTTTCAAGCTGTTCATTTAGTCTGGGAAGTTGGCCGTTTGTATGTTATCGCTTTGTACTCGGAGAAAGGTGTCGCTATAATACGGAGCTTGCGAGAACATAGCTTTATATTTTTAAGAATGATACTGTTTTATGTGAAGATAAGTTTTATCTTATCTTTTGTTCTTTGTCTTATTGTGTTACCCATTTTTCTGTGATATCTCCTGGCTCAAAAGCTTTCTGTTGGCATTTGCCATTTAGACTCAATATTGTTAGTGCCTGACAATAAAGATTCACATTGTCACTTGCCCCCCACACATGTGCACATATCTATACGCACCTACACACGCACAACAGACCCACGCACATAAGAGGCACCGCCCGCTCCTCAGCGCCCGTGTGCAGCCATTCGGAGGTCGCAATAGTTGAAACAGCGGCGCCTCTCCTTCCCGCCAGAACCCTTTGTCTTTGCTAATGAATTGGCGAGAAAAATGGGGACGAAGGCGCGATTTCCAATCTTGTGGGCCGTCAGGGATTTGCGATTCAGTAATTAACAAAAATTCTAATTAATCCCTCCCTAGCTGGTACTTCTGTCTCCGATTTGTTTCTTTGGAGTTTCTTGTTAGGTTCTCCACTGCTGTTCTTCTTCCGTCTTTCTTCGAAGCTGGAGCCACTCTAGGTGTGTGCAGGTATTTCATAGTTTTTGCAATACGTACTTCCTTAATGTTTCTTTCGCTCCTTCTTCTGTATTCTCCATTCCAGGTCGCCATCGCTTGTGTATCTTCGCCGTTCTTCGTTCACGATTTTTCCTTTTCCATTTTCAGCTATTTGCGTGCGTCAGTTGCATAAAGGCGTGTTTCCTCAGGGGAGAAATTAGCGCACGCAACCGCGACGAACTGAAGTCGGAAAATTATAATAAACAAGTCGCATGCTCATCGACCATTAAACTCGATTCCCTTCTCTCGGGATAGCCGGGGATCTCGCGAGACGCCGGAATCAATCAATCTCGCAGCATCCAGGTAAAAAAATCACCTTAATCTCCAAACGCCACTGTCGGGACTAGCAGAGGCGAAAATTACCCGTCTTGTGTCCAGGAATCAAAGGGTAGGTTCAGGGGAGAGGAGGGGCTCGTATGGGCTGGGGGTTTAGGGGCGGGGGGTCCGGCTTCTGGGTGTGTGGGGCTGGGGGGATGGTGGGGGTTGGATGGCGAAGGAAGGGGGCTCTCCCTGAATCTGGGATTTGAGGGGACGGCTGCAGGTGGTGCCCGGTGTAGGCTTTGTTTGTCTTGGGGCACTCGACTTTTTCTTCGTCTTTTTTTTTTTTTTAACTGGGTGTTTTTGTTTCATTTGATTTTTTCCTCTTCCTTTTTTTTGAGGGACGCTAGTATAGG